TTTGATTTAAAGACAAATTTCAAATTTGTTACTAACTAAGCAATACGAGTACGAACACTTAGAGATGAATGATCGAGTAATTCTGCAATGTGTTTATACACTTCACACCAAACAGATGGTATACGCCACTGAAATTCGTCTAAATTTCGAATTAAGCACCAACGTGCTGATTCATTAAATGTATTCGATGTTGATTTTGCATTGATCAGTGTGCACAGAAAATGAATTACGCGGAACATTCGACGCGGATCTTTATTTATCTTTAAATAACAAAAAAAAATATCAAATAATCAGTGATAAACACAACTTACGATGATATAAAAGAGACATGCATTCCAATGCGATAATATTTCGGAATTTAGATTATTACAAACTTCAGTAAGTAACGGCGTGAGTTTTTCCCATAGTTCATTCAAGTAAAGAAAATGATAAGTCAACGATTGGATTAAGTTAATCCATTTGTCTTACCATTTTTAATGTCCAATTTTTTGAGCCACAAATCATTCCTGCTACAATTTGTGCAGCTACTTGATGACTGCCTTCTTGTTTTTTTGTGATCTTTTCATGAGCGAGTTCGTTCAATTGTTCCATGAAATTATCAAAAAATGCCAACCCAAAATTACGAAATAGACCCTAGCGATAATAAATTCAAGTTAGTTTATATAAAAATCATAGAACTTTTCTATTTACTTTAAACATAACAAATTGATCTTTATCAAAGTTCTTTTGTTCTTCAGTCTCGTTCAAAATCATCAATTGTGTGATTTGTCTTACAAATTTTTCATTCATAAAACGATCATATAAAATGGTTACATCTTGGGGCATTTCATGATCTTTTGTATAACGTGCTCGTTTATTCAATGGATATTTAATTGTTTTTGGCCAAGTATAATATCCATGAAATGATTTATCTAAAAAGCATGTTTCTTCCCATTCGATTTGTGTTTCCGGTGGTATATAATCATTAAATGTCAACCATAAGTTATCCTCTCGATCACCCGGATGGCACTGATCAGTAGTAATATGAGGAAGTGGTTTACCATTGTTAGATAAAATTTCTTCGAGAGATTTTTCTACATAGATCCGTGGTGGTTTTTGCAAACGACATAATGAAATAATTCCTATGATAGCTAACTGAAAAAAATCGAAGAGAAAAAATTGATTTATTAAATAATATTTGTGAACAAACTTTTC